GGAACTAGATCTAGTCTAGTCCCTGGTCAGGGAACTAGATCCCACATGCTGCAACTAAAAGTTTGCATGCGGCAACCAAGTCCTGCATGCTGCAATCAGAGATCCCACAGGCCACAACTAAAGATCCTGTGTGCCACAACAAAGATCCTGCATGCTGTAACTAAGTCCCGGTGCAGCCAAATAAATAAATATTAAAAAAAAACCAAAACAAAGCTACAGTAATCAAAACAGTGTGTTATTGGTACAAAAACAGGCATACGGATCAATGGAACAGAATAGAAAGCCCAAAAATAAACCCAGACACCTATGATCAACTAATTTTCAACAAAGGAGGCAAGAATATAAAATGGGAAAAAGACTTTTCTTCAGCAAGTGGTGCTGGGAAAGTTTGACAGCTGCATGTAAATCAATATAGTTAGAACACAACCCCACACAATACACAAAAATAAACTCAAAATGGCTTAAAGACTTAAACATAAGACATGACACCACAGAACTCCTAGAAGAGAACATAGGCAAAACATTCTCTGACATAAATCCTACCAATGTTTTCTTAGGTCAGTCTCCCAAGGCAACAGAAAGAAAACCAAAAATAAACAAACAGGACCTAATCAAACTTACAAGCTTTTGCACAGCAAAGGAAACCATAAAAAAAACGAAAAGACAACCTATGGAATGGGAGAAAATATTTGCAAATGATGGGACAGACAAGGGCTTAATCTCCAAAATATACAAACAGCTCATACAACTCAACGACAAAAAAAATGGACAGAAGTGAAAAATGGACAGAAGACCTAAATAGACATTTCTTCAAAGAAGACATACAGCTGGCCAGTAGGCACATGAAAAGATGCTCAACCTCTCTAATCATTAGAGAAATGCAAATCAAACTACAATGAGGTACCACCTCACACTGGTCAGAATGGCCATCATTACAAAGTCTATAAATAACAAATGCTGGAGAGGGTGTGGAGAAAAGGGAACCTTCCTACACTGTTGGTGGGAATGTAAACTGGTGCAGCCATTATGGAGAACAGTATGGAGGTTCCTCAGAAAACTAAAAATAGAATTAACGTATGACCCAGCAATCCCACTCCTGGGAATATATCCAGACAAAACTCTAATCCAGAAAGATACATGCACCCGTATGTTCATAGCAGCAGTATTCACAATAGCCAAGACAGGGAAACAACCTGAATGTCCACTGACAGATGAATGGATCAAGATGTGGTACATGTATACAATGAAATACTACTCAGCCATAAAAAAGAATGAAATAATGCCATTTGCAGCAACATGGGTGCAACTAGAGATTATCATACTAAGTGAAGTAAGTCAGAATAAGAAAGACAAATACCGTATGATATCGCTTATATGGGGAATCTAAAATATGGCACAAATGAACTTATTTGCAAAACAGAAACAGGCTCACAGACATAGAGAACAGACCTGTGGTTGCCCCAGCGCAGGGGTGGAAGGTAGAGATGAACTGGGAGTTTGGGGTTGGTAGATGCAAACTATTACATATACAATGGATAAAGAACAAGGTCCTACATATAGCACAGGGAACTATATTCAATATCCTGTGATATACCATAATGGAAAAGAATATAAAAAAAAGAACCTATATATGTGTATAGCTGAGTCACTTTGCTGTACAGCAGAGACTGGCATAGCATTGTAAATTAGCTATACTTCAATTAAAAAAGGGGGAAAAAAAGAACTTATTTAGAAAGCAGAAAGAGACTCTCAGACATAGAAAACAATCTTATGGTTACCAAAGGGGGAAGGTGTGGGGAGGGATAAATTAGGAGCTTGGGATTAACACCTACACACTACTATACACAATACAGGTAACCAACAAGGACCTACCATATAGCCCAGGGAACTACACTATTTTTTAACAACCTATAAGGGAAAAGAATCTGAAAAAGAATATATATCTATCTGAATCATTGTGCTGTACACCTGAAACTAACACAACTTTGTAAATGAACTATAATTTTTTAAAAGTTTAATAATAAATTTTAATTGTTAAACTTAAAAAAACTTTTAGAGGTAACAGGTATGTTTATTATGTTAATTGTGTTGATGCTTCCTTGGCAGTAAAGTTTACATGCCAAAATTTATCAAACTGTACACTTTAAATATGTGCAATTTATTGTAAATTAATTATACCTCAATAAAAATTGTAAGAAAAAAAGAAAAGCCTGACAAACCAGATAGTAAGTATAAATAGAAGAACAAGGAACTAAGGAACTAAAAATAGATAGGAGTAGTAAGATAACCACTAGAACAAAAATAGAAACAAAACGTACTTATACACAACTCAGCAACTTTTAAAACTAGAAACATGATAGCTCTGTAGATCAGCAGTTCTCAAAGGGTGCCCAGGGGACCTGCCAGACTTCCAGGGAGTCCACAGGAGAAAACTATTTTAATAAAAGAAAGATGCTCTTTGCCTTTTTAATCCTAGTTCTCTCATGAGCCTACAGTGGAGTCTTCCAGGGCCTATGTGGTTTGTATCACAGATTAAATGTAGAAACAGATATAAGAATCCAGCATCTTCCAATAAGCCAAAAAATTTGCGAAACTGTAGAACAATGCCACTCTTCATCAAAAACACTGTTTATTCATTGCAGCACTATTTACAATAGCCAAGACATGGAAGCAACCAAAATGTCCAACAACAGAGGAATGGATAAAGATGTGGTGGACTTCCCTGGTGGTGCAGTGGTTAAGAATCTGCCTGCCAATGCAGGAGACACGGGTTCGATCCCTGGTCTGGGAAGATCCCACATGCTGTGGAGCAACTAAGCCCCTGTGCCACAACTACTGAGGCCGTGTGCCACAACTACTGAAGCCCGTGAGGCTAGAGCCCATACTCTACAACGAGAAGCCACCGCAAAGAGAACCCTGCACACCACAACGAAGAGTAGCCTCCGCTCGCCGCAACTAGAGAAAGCCCGCGCGCAGCAACGATGACCCAACGAAGCCATAAATAAATAAATTTATTTTTTTAAAAAGAGATGTGGTACACATATACAATGGAATATTACACATATACAATGGGATATTGCTCAGTAATATACAATGGAATATCACTAAAATTGAAATAATGCCATTTGCAGCAACATGGATGGACCTAGAGATTATCATACAAAGTCTAGTAAGTCAGACAGAGAAACACAAATATCACTCTTATATGGAATCTAATTTAAAAAAAAATGATACAAATGAACTTACAAAACAGAAACAGACCTACAGATATCGAAAACAAACTCATGGTTACCAAAGGGGAAACGTGGGAGGGAGGGATAAATTAGGAGGTTGGGATTAACATACACACACTACTATATATGATAGATAACCAACAAGGACCTACTGTATAGCACAGGGAACTCTACACAATAATCTGTTATAGGGTTTCCCTGATGGCCAGTGGTTAAGAATCTGCCTGCCAACGCAGGGAACACAGGTTCAAGCCCTGGTCTGGGAAGATCCCACATGCCGCAGAGCAGCTAAGCCTGCGTGCCACAACTACTGAGCCCGTGAGCCACAACTACTGAAGCCTGCGTGCCTAGAGCCCATGCTCCACAACAAGAGAAGTCACCGCAATGAGTAGCCCCTGCTCGTTGCAACTAGAGAAAGCCCGTGCGCAGCAACGAAGACCCAACGCAGCCAAAAAATAAATTTATAAAAAAAATAAAATCTTGTTAAAAAAGTAATCTGTGATAACCTATAAAAGAATCTGAAAAAGAATGAATATATGTATAACTGAAACACTTTGCTGTACACCTGAAACTAATACATTATAAATCAACTACACTCCAATAAAATAAAAAAAGTAGTTTAATAACTGAAAAAAGACATTGTTTATGTTAACATGTGATGGGCTTATTATTTTTAAATGAAGTAATAAATGAACACAGCATTTTAAAAATTCCTCAGTTTTAATTTGTCAAAGGGCACCAGTTGATAGATAAAACCCACACAAACAAAACTCCTTGGGGTCCTGAGCGGTGGGGAAGCACTGCTGTCAATCTGTCATTGCTCAACCCCCCAAGGGACTCCCGTAGGCAGAGGTCACTACCCTCACTAAGGGCGGTGACCCCTGAGTGAGGGACCCTGCACTCCACACTGGTGCCCTCAACCTATGGTCTGGTCCCTAGATCATGCCTGGTTCCTAACAAGCTAAGTACAGAAATCAAGCTTAAACCTTCAGAAACATTTACAGCAATTTTACATTGCCACACAACCAAGCACATGATTGATGTATTTTGTATGTTTTTTTAATTCCATTTTTCGAATTGTTCATTTTTATTGTATTTTACAAAAGTGTTAGCCTGCAACAGTTTGAAATGTTTCAAGTGGTCCTTCACCATAGATACATTAAGAAGCACTAAAGTCGGGACTTCCCTGGTGCTCCAGTGGCTTAAACTCTGTGCTCCCAATGCAGGGGGCCTGGGTTCAATCCCTGGTCGGGGAACTGGATCCCACATGCAGCCAAAAAAAAAAAGGGGGGGAGGGGCACTGAACTAGATATCATATAATTAAAGAGCAGTTGGACTTATTTATTTTTGGCTGCGTTGGGTCTTCATTGCGGCGTGCCGGCTTTTCTCTAGTTGCGGTGAGCAGGGGCTACTCTTCGTTGCGGTGTGCGGGCTTCTCATCGCGGTGGTTTCTCTTGTTGCAGAGCACGGGTTCTAGGTGTGCGGGCTTCAGTAGTTGTAAAATGCGGGCTCAGTAGTTGTGGCGCACGGGCTTAGTTGCTCCGCGGCATGTGGGATCTTCCCGGACCAGGGCTCAAACCGTGTCCGCTGCAATTGGCAGGCGGATTCTTAACCACTGCGCTGCCAGGGAAGCCCTGGAACGATCTTTTAAGCAAAATATGTCAATAGTACTATTTCTCCATGATTAACGTACACTGCTCCTAACATAAGTATCAAAGCATTGCCATTAAAATGGAAATCGCTAATGGTAAAGAAAATCATACATACCCTCTTCAGTGAAGAATTTTTCTACAGGTCCCACAAACTGATTAATTTCATTAAGTTCATCTTGGCTAACTTCCGGAAATGGGAAAACTTCTTTCTAAAAATGATAAACATGTAGTAAAAATTTAATTTTTGGCAACCTCCCATAGTGGCAATATCAACCCAAAGGGAAGGAAAAAGACTTGCTAGTTTCCACATCGGCTGGCAGGGCCTTACTCGCTGAAGGAGCCGGAAAGCAAACTTCAGAAGGAGCTTAAGACAAGGAATGGCGTTAGACTCCAGCACCTTGGTTCATCCTCCTCCCTGACCCAAAATTGTTCCTAATTTTGGTCAGCTTGCCCCATGGAGCAGAGAGCCTGGACTAACATTTCAAACCCCAGTCTGAGCCCTGATTTGCAGCTTACTAACTGGGCAGCCTTAATCACATCCCATCACCTGTCCACACTGCCGTTTTCTCACCTATGATGAGCAGGTAATATTTACTCAAGGTCGTTGTGAGGACCATGGAAGATAATGCATGAGCAAGCTCTTTACCAAAACACAGAAATCCACCTCAGTTATCCTGTGAGCTCAAAGATGCTGCCACCGACAAGAACGTACTGTGGTCACGGGTCTGACATCTTGCCGGGTTCCCACCTGGCTGCTCGCTCCAGCACCCACCCGTCCCGCCTAATGAGCCCTGCTCCGTGCGCTGAGCAGGGCCACCAGAGGAGGCCCAGACGAGGAGCCAGATCAACCGGAATGCAGCCCTGGCTCTGCCGATTCTTAGATGTGTGATGGGCAAGTCACACCCCTTCTCAGTGTCAGTTTCTCTCCTGCTACAGGTGATGCCTCAGAAGGCAGCTGTGAGGCTCAAAGGAGATGAGGTGTCCTGAACACGAAATAGCTGCAATTATCTGTATTGGGTACTGGCTCTGCTCCTGTCCCCACAGCCTGGAAAGCGACTCCGCTTCAAGTCTACCTCAAACTGATAGAGGAGTGGACAATGTTTCCAACTGACCCTGGATTCCCAACCAGGTCATGGCTATATGCTGCCTAAAATCATCCCGCTGTGCCCTCTGGCTTTTGGGCTCCAACCCCCGTTAGCTGCCAGCATGACCCGAGTATCTGGATTTGACTGACACCTGCTGAGAAGTGATGTCCCAGGCCCTAAGCCGCCCCCAGGAGCCCTGCCTCTCCTCACAGCACCTCTCACCAAGCGTCTTGAGAAAGGTCTTCAAAGCAGAGGAGTCCTGTCTCCTCTCGAGCCCTGTGAATAATCAGCCACTCTAGTTACAGGCTCCCAAATCTACTTTCTTCTTTCCGGCCACCTGTACAGGTGATAGGTGGGTGCCATGCCCAAACTTAAAAGAATCCCTGCCTCCAGGCCACCTTCGGCCCTGCCCCTAAGGTGGTCTACAAGGAAATTACACTGAGCTGTCACCACCCCGCAGCCGCTTAGAACAAAGCCGGCTCTTTAGCCGACTGTAGAGGCCACGTCCACTGCGCCGGCCTGCACGGGCTCACCTGGGCCTGGTGCAATGGCTGTGTTAGAGGGAGATGATTCTGGTACCAGCGAGCAGCCAGGTGAGAGGAGAGAACAGGCTGGGAACCAGGTGGTCTCAACCGCAACCAATGGACAACTGTCCCCAGGAGAGAGATCTCATGCACATGTGAGAACAAATTTCTGATGGCAGTGTTCAGAGTCTAAATGGGGTGCCTCATGGGCGATGGGTTCAGTTTCATCAGCACTTTTCAAATTTTTGAAAGTACAACCGGTTTTTCAAATAAATCCAGTGCAGAAACCAAATATGCAAAACAGATGCAAGCCAAGCTGCTCTGGCTGAGACTGTGAACGGGGAGAAAAGTCACCCACTTGACTCCCCCACTAGTCCCTGCAGCAGCCCTGGGGGTGCTCTCAGGAACAGCCTGGGTCCAACTGAGGGCAGGGGGACAACTGCCAGCCTGCGTGATCATGAAGGTCTCCTTCTATTCCGAGATTCTAAGCATCTCGGATACCACGTTGCTGCTCAAACCCCAACAATGCTGCGAGAGACGATGTCTGCCTGAACCAGGGAGGTACCGGCGGAAGTGCTTAAAAGCTGTCAGATTCTAAATAGAACCTGAACGTAGAGAAAACGGCATTTGCTGTTGGATTTGATGTGGCTTATGAGAACAGGAGGTGTCAAAGCTGACTCCAGGTATTTGACCTGAACAAGTGGAACAGCAGAGTCACCACCCTCTCCGATAAGAAGAGCGGGAGGAAAGACAGGATTGGGTGGGCAGACCAGGAGCTCAGCTTTGGGTGGGCTAGACTGGCGATGCCTAGTAACATCCAAGTGCAGCTTTTGAGTAGAAAGGTAGATATGAAGAGTATGGAGTTCAGGGAGAAATCTCAGCTGGAGAAATAAATGTGCATCCTCAGGATACTGACAGCACGATACTGAATTAGATTATCAGAGGAATGCTTGTAGATGAAAAGAGAAGTCCACAGACTAAGCCTTAGAAAACTTCAACTCCGACTGAGCTGGTTGGAAATGCTGTCTAATGTTTGGACTTGTCAAGGAGCCAAGAAGGAATCAATGTCCTTGAGTAGCTGAGAAAGCTTGGGGTACAGTTGGCCTTTGCTGGGAGTGGACGGTTCCCCACATCAATGCAGAGAACGCAGACCACACGGGCACACATGTGGGGAGGAGGGGGTAAACGTGGTGGTAGAAGTTCTTACCTGACTGCGTGTATTTTCTCAGTGAAACAGGAGGCAAAGCCGACAGGTGAGAGTGCGGATGGGGGAGGTGGCGCCATAGGTTTGGAGAAAGAGGAGCATGAAATGAGACAGGCTGGGACCTGGGACTCTTTGCTGCAGTGCTGTAATCATTGCACTTGGACACACCTCTCCTTGAGCAACAAAACACAAAGAAGCTGTATGGGACTAAAAATAACTGCGTGCATGCGCAGTTGGGGCAAATTCTGGATCCAACAGATACAAAAAGACCAAAAAAAAACACAACTGCCACTTTTGAAGAGCCTGGAGCAAAAACAGGGTACCCCACATGCCCCCTGCACACACCACCACCTAAGGGGTGGACAAAACACCTAAGCCACCCCTCCGGCCTGACCCCTGGACACATTTCTACCCTCACCCCATATTAGAAACCAGTTTGCCCCTCTCAGGGATTGAGCAAGCAAGGGAACATGCTGTTTGTTCTTCTTCCCACCTGCTGCAGCAGAGGCCCCGTTAAAGCCTTGCCTGAATTTCTTGTCTGGCCTCTAGTAAATTTCTATTTCTTGGGGAAGGCCAAGAACCCTGGTCGGTAACAGAGAAATGTGTGTTCTTTCTTCCCCAAGCTGCTGGGAGCCACGGGGGTCCCACGACAGAGCACCACACAGCCCCAGGTTCTGGAGGAAACGGCTTCCCTAACTTTTAAGACCTAGCTTCGTACTTCTAGCAGGGCAAACTACTCCAGTCAGAGTGTCTGCATCTGTGCCTGACGACCTTAGAGAATGTCCTAGAAAAACCAGGGAATAACTTCTAAAGTAATACAGAATCAGTCAACATTCCAGCCAAGCTCAAAGCACTTTACACACATTTTTCTTTGGCTTGTGGGCCACCTGTAGGAGGGGGCAAGGGCTGTTTTTACTCCTATTTTCTGTATGAGAGCACTGAGGCACTTCACAGGAGCTATTAGCCCAAGGTCACAATACTAGCAGGTGTTGACGCCAGCACCGATTACTCATTCTGCTGCTTCATGAACCTGTACCGCATCTTAACAGTTTAAAAAGCATTTCCACGTATATACGTCTCGTTACAACACATCTGAGACGCAGAACACATCGCAAGCTCCGTTTTAACGCTGAAAGAACTCGGACTCAAGGTCACAGAGTCAAGGTCAAATCCAAGCCTTCTGACTATAAGAGTCCGGTGAGTGCTTAGTAACACTAGGTCGTGCGACCCGTGGAAGGGACGGGCGGGGAAGGCACCTTTGAGCCGGGCTTCTGGGGAACCTGAAAGGTGGGGTGAGCCGTTGAGACTCGGCCGTGGAAGCCAACAGAGAGAGGAGCGGCATGGTCTGTGCTTAGGAAACAGGAAACCGGAAACCCCCTCCAGCCCCCCCAGTTCGCGGCCGGAGTGTTGAGTTGCGGATCACTTAGCGACCACCTCGCCTAGGGTTTCCCAGGGTGTCCCGGCAGGCGTTACCTCGAACACAGGTCAAAACCATAGCTCCTCAGAGCCACAGGGTTAGCACACCCGCCCGCAGGTGCGTTTCTAAGGCAAGTGTGGGGACTCTAACCAGGCTCGACCGGGCCCTTCCCGCAAAGGGCAAAAGGCGAGGAGGAAGGGCAATGGCCGGCCGGGGCTCGGCGTTACCTTCTCGATTTTGCCCAGGAAGAGCTCCTTGGCGAAAGCTTGGCTCGGTGGACTGGTGCGCAGCGGGCGCCGACTCGCGGTGAAAGCCACCAGGGCACGGCCCAAGCGCGCCGCCGCCGCCGAGCGCAAGAAGAGCCCGCAGCCGCTCATGCCGTCCCGAGCCGCTCTCGCCGCCGCCGCCGCCGCCGCTGCTTTCACAGCGCCTCAGTCACTTGCCCCGGGATCGCGCCTCCCGATGACGCCACCCATCTGCGTCGGCCCGCCGGCCGCCAACGCGCTTGCGCGGCCTCGGGCGCTGCCCGGGGCCGCGGCCAATCTTGACGGTTTCGCGAATGGGCGGCTTCGCGATTGGGCGGCGGCGGCGTGCTGTTTTCAAACACCTGCAGTGGTTTTGCCTAAATGCCGTAAATTACCAGCCGGGGCAGCGTCTCTGGGAGCCGGAACCTAAGCGGTGGCCCAGCTGCCTCCACTTGCCTCTCTCTCGCCAGCTGGGGCGACGAGGACATGGTGGAACTACAAAGCGGGGGGTGGGGGAAATTCACGATATTGGTTATCTCTGGAGGGAGCGCACACACGAGTTACGGTCCTTGCTTTAAGTGGGTGATTAGTGAGGATTCCTTTGGTTTTGCTTCATAGCTTACGTATTAGTCACATATATGGGGGGTGGGGAGAAGAAAAGGAAAGAGATATTCCACCAGAGAGGTCTGGATAAGACCCTGTAGTTACTACGTCCCTGGGAAACGCCAACCTGAAGGGCAAGGGTGGGGGAGAAGCTGGAGCTGGGACCGGTGGCAGGGACGGGATAGGAGGGAGGGCGCCCCCCTCCCCACACCCAGCGATGCCCTGAAGGCCCTCCTCACCTGTGCCTGCGCCCTGCCTGTCGCATTTACAGGGCAGTAACAATACGCCTTTTTCTCATTGGAAATGCTCTCTGCCGCCGTCAATATTCAGAGAGCAGTGGGAAACGCATTCAGCTCAACGTGCTGTGCCAGACCCAATAAAAGGTACACTTGTTTGGGTAAAGACTTGATGAAAACGCAGTCCTTCTCGGGAGGGACTCGAACCCAGCCAAAACTCACATTGGGACTCAACCCCCACTCCTGCATCGCAGATGTGGACGCGAACCCACTGTCTTTTAACTAAAACCTCTCACCTGGTGTTAGGACTTAACTGAAGCTCAGCTTCTTTTGTCTGGTTGCAGAAGGAAGTCGGTGTGAGGCAAAGTGATAGGTAAAGAGTGAGTCTGTTAGCATAGGACGCTTGTGAGAGATACAAGCGGGCTGGCAAGAGAACTGAGCCCTGAGAACCAAGAGGACTACATCTTTATCGTCCGAGAAAAAGTGGGGAGGGGAGAAGACCACCTTCTTCCTCATTCTTAGGCAAACGTCAAGGCTTACATCATTAGTTCCTCCTGTGACCCTATATGGTCTGACCAGGGCTGTCATGGCGCTATTTAATTCATATTTATATTAGCAAAAGGGTAGTAACATAGACTAAAATATGGTAATTAATCTCAGGTTTCAGTATAATGTCCCATTTCGGCTAGTTTCTTTCCTTTTCACCTATATTTCTGTCTTGGCTACACACAGAAATGCTATTCTTAAAGGATGATTAACTCCCTGACTTCATGTAACAAGATTCAGACCCCATGTCTCTTGTCTTGTGCTTTAACTATCAGGGTTTCTGGCTTGAGTGTGCCTGGCGCTTGGAGGCACCTGTCTTCCTTCAAGGTCGTGTAGATCCTTGCTAGGTTACTGGATTCCTCTCTTGAGTGGTCATTAGCTTACACAGTCTCCCAAACTCCCTTAAAATTCCCTCTGTGTCTTTAATCCCCTAGTGGGATTTCTAAACTGACTATTTGATTATCCTACTCTATCCCGATCAATGACATAGCATCAGGGAAAAAAGAGCTCAAAAACTTTCTTGGTTGCAAAATACCTGTACTTGCAGGCATCTTCTGCAATGTGTTCTCTTTTTGTCTTTCACTTTTAAAGGCTTTTCACCTGGTTTCTTCATCAGTGGTCAGTATTTGCCAGTTTCAGCATTCAGCTTCTCGAGAAGGCATTTGGTAACAAGTGCCTTTGTGAATTAACTCTGCGGGTGAAACAAAGAAAAAGTGCCAATGCTGGGTTTTAAGTTTGAGCTTGTGTACATTTTGGCCAAAAGAAATGTAGTCAGTCCAATCAAGTCATCCGATAATGTGCTGGTTCCTCTTTAGTGGATCCTAATTTGGTTGGATCCTCCCTAAATTAAACAAGTGAGAAATTCAGTGGCACACAGTTTCCAAAACAAAAATTAGAAAAACATTAAGGCATAATTTCTACGTACTCTAGTAGCATGTACAATGGGAAAAGTTTTGGAGTTCTACAACTTTGCCAGTTTCTAAATTCAGTTTTCTCATCTGTAAAAATGAGTATAATATCACTTACCTCACAGAACTTTTGTGAGGATTAACTAAATCCTTACAAAAGCATCTACCACAGCAAATGATCAATGTTTTTCTTGTAATAATATAAAAATAAAAAATGGTTACACACTGAGATTTCCATCTTATACTTGAGTATTAGCCCTGAGAAATAGGATGCCATTTTTAAAGTTTGCTTTACACACAGAATTTCCACATTTCATACTTAAAACACTCTCACCGAGTACCTCTGAATGTCCTTCTGTATGATCATGTCAGTACAACTGGTTCTCATACATGACCTACCAGCAAATAATCTGGCACTCTTGTGTGGCCATCGTGTTGGTGTTAGCATACCAGGATGCTTGGCTCTGGGCCTCTGGCACATCCTCTGAGTAGGAAACTATTCCTACACCCCTCAGCGTGAAAGCCATACACCGGGGAAGGTCATGGAGACATTTACAAACACAGAATTAGAAGAAAGGGGTGGCGTTGTCTCCTGTCCTAAGGTTACAAGGTCAATAGTCAGTCATGTGAAAAATGAGAGTCTAGTCAAGGTTCCTGCCTCGTAGCCATCAGCGTCCTAACTGAAGGCTCACAGATAAATCATGCACAGTTATCACCAGTGCATTTCCTGCTGAGAGAAGTTGGCTGACACCTCACTGTCCAGACATCAAATACCTGCAAGAAGAGAGGTGTCCCTCAAAGAATAATGTTGTCTCATACACTAAATTATGTTGTCCACTACTACTTCCTTCCTTTTTGACGTGTATTTGTCCACTTTATTACGGAAACATGCAAGTCACTGGCTTGTTGAAAGCCACAAAGGTAACGAGGTGTTATGGGTTGAATTGTGTCCCCCAAAATTCATTTGTTGAAATCCTAACCCCCAGCGCCTGAGAATGTGACCTTATTTGGAATGAGGGTTTCCTATTGCATTGTGTTGCAGGTGTAATGAGCTAAGTTAGGAAGAGGTCATAGTGGGGTGGTGTAGACTCCTAGCCCAGTACAACCGGTGCCCTTACAAGAAGGAGAAATGTAGACAAAGACGTGCACACAGGGAGATGCCATGTGAGGGTGAAGACAGAGATCAAGTTAACGCTTCTACAGGCCGAGGAAGGCCAAAGAGGCCAGCAAACTGCAGAAGCTGGGAGAGAGGCCTGGGACAGATTCTCAGCCCTCAGAAGGAACCAACCCTGCCAACACCTTGATCTTGGACTTCTAGCCACCAGAAGTGGCAGGCAGTAGACTGTTTAAGCCCCCGGTCTGTGGTTCTTTGTTAGAGCGGCCCTTGCAGACTAAGACATGAGGGCCTGTGATTCTTGGCACATGGCAACATCAATAAACAGGGCCTAACAGCGACCACGGGGCTGGGGCCGTGTCTCATAGCCCACGCACCCAGGGCTCCTGCTACGGTTTAGAATCAATGGCTTCCTTCTAGCTTTTAAGAAATGAGTGGTCATTCTCTGCTGCCTCCTCTTCCACCAGCTGGAAGCAGAGGACTCGGCCCTAGTGGGCGGCGGGACGAGATAGGAAAGGCCTAGGTCTTTGAATATTGGTCTTTTCCTCCAAAGGAGGAAAGCCAGCCACGGAATAGGGACACCCATGTTGAATATTAACAGGAGCAACAAATATGTGCTGTATGAAGCCACTGACATTTGGGGGTTTCTTACGGCAGCCCCCAACCAATAAAAATACCTTCCAAGTGTCAAGGAAAACACTATAAGGAACAGTATAAACATAAAGGGTCATCACTTTAGGGGCCAGTCACACCTGCCATGCAGGTCAACTGAGCCCCAAGCAACCAGATTGGATGAGTGCCCTTCTATGCCAGACACTGGCTGGCTCACGTGCTTCACGTGTGTCAATATCATTTAATCCTCTAAACGAGCCTGTGAATTCAGACACTTTATGCCCATTTTGCAAGTGGGAAACACAGGCACTGAAAGCTCGCAGTCCTAAACAGCAAAGCCAGGCTCCGGGCCCCGCCGGCTGGCTCCTGGGCCTGTGTCCTCATCCCCCCGGCTGCGCTGCCTTCCTGAAGGCGGCAAGGCAAGACTGGGCGGGTGAAAAATGACCTCCTTCTCTGTCATCACTCGCCCCCATTACTGGCTGACCTGAAGTAAGGTGAAATTACCCTGACGGAGGTCAGAAACCCCATCAGGCCTTGGTGTCATTCTCCACCTCTGCCAGCTCGATGGGGTGACACACCCTTAGGTCAAGTTGCAAGGAGGGTCAAGCATGGCTCTTGGTACTTAGGTGCCCCTTTTACGTGTGTCCTGGCTCTTCTTTCTTTTGTGGGATTGTCAGTCTGAATGTCTCGGACTGACGTGTCTGAGAGGTCCGTCTGCTCAGTGATGCGTTTTCACCAATCCCCTTCATCATCCTCCTCCACCGCCAGCCCTCGGGCAAGGCACGTCCTATTCCAGAGGCCCAGTTTCCTCACCTATCAGATGATGAAATCAACACAAAACATGGATTTTTATGCAAATTAAGTGGTCTAACATTTAGTTCTCCTCCCACGCTACACACTGTAGACTTCAGGGTCTACCAGCCCTGAAAAAAAAGAGTCTAAAAATAGGGGCTCTTAAGTTGAGACTTGGTCCTAGTGATAACAGTTTTTCAAAATCTCAGGAGAGCTGAAATTTTAACCGCATTAACAACGACAAAAACAAAATACCTCTGATTTTTCCTTATGCTTCAAAAGCCAAAGGAACCTAAGATTCAACCAAGTTCTAGAGCGTGTGTCCCCCACTATTACAGTATGAAAAGCATGTTAAAATAACATGCAACAAACGCTGTGTTGAAACGGCCAGCA